TTAACTTGTAGGGTTTGAGGGACCTCAGGATTCCAGAAAAATCTGATGGAGATTTGGGACCAAACCAGTGGAGTTATGAGGGAAATTGGTAAAGATTTGGGGAAGGGCTCCAGGCGGCCGTGACACTGATGGAGTGCGGGGGGGACCTCCAGCCCCCCGGGGGGTCCCTGCGCCTCCTCTGCCGAGGGTCCGGGTTCAGTTTTGGACAATTTGGGATCAGCTGGGTGCACCAGAGACCTGGGCAGGGGCTGGAATTTGACGCAGACATTGACAGCGATGGATACACCAGATACGCGTCTGCGTTCAAGGGTCGGGTCACGATCTCCAGGGACAACGGGCAGAGCTCGGTGACACTGACCATGAACAACCTCAAGGACGAGGATTCCGGATCCTATTTCTGTGCCAAATGTGCTTCTGCTGGTTTGGGTGCTTATGCTGCTGGTGCTGCTGTTGGACCGCATCCCTATCCCTGTGTGCCACCCTACCCAGTTCCCCTGATCCTTCCCTCCAACCCTTGACCCCATTGGTGACTCCCACAGACCCAAATCTGGCCCATTTTCCCCAAATCTCGGCCATTTGCACCCAGGTTTGGAGACCTAGACTGAGACGTGGAGCCAAGATCTGAGGTTTGGAGCCAAGAGCTGAGAATGTGGGGCAGAGCCAGCTCAGAGCTGGGACACGGGGACAGGAATGGGGTCAGGGGCTGGGGATTGGGGAAGGGTCTGGGGAATGGGGACATGGGGGGACACAGCCATGGCGTGGCCTCAATGCCATAGGCATCATTAACAGCACCATTATCATCAGCACCCCTGGCACAGAAATAGGATCCGGAATCCTCGTCCTTGAGGTTGTTCATGGTCAGCGTCACCAAGCTCTGCCCGTTGTCCCTGGAGATCGTGAACCGGCCCTTGACCGATGGACTGTAGTAGGTGTAAGCAGGACTGCTCCAGATCACCGCAACGTATTCCAGCCCCTGCCCGGGTCTCTGGCGGATCCATTGCAGGGGAAAACTGCTGAAACTGAACCCGGACCCTTGGCAGAGGAGGCGCAGGGACCCCCCCTGGGGGGACTGGAGGTCCCCCCCGCACTCCAGCAGGGTCACGGCCGCCTGGAGCCCTGTGGGACAAAGGGGAGATGGGGATGAGGCCAAAGCTCAACCCTTGAACCCATAATCCTGACTCTTGGCCCCAAATTGGGACCTTTGGACATCATCATCCTCCTCCCAGGTGGGTCACATCCCTTTTTTCAAGCGTGCTATGCCTATTTGGGCACTCTTGACCAATCAGGTTTCTCATCCCCATCTCCCCTTTGTCCCGCAGGGCTCCGGGCGGCCGTGACCCTGCTGGAGTGCGGGGGGGACCTCCAGCCCCCCGGGGTGTCCCTGACATTGCTGTGCCGAGGGTCCGGGTTGGATGTTGGTGGCATCACCATGTTCTGGGTGCGCCAGAGACCCGGGCAGGGGCTGGAGTGGGTTGGGAGCATTCGGAAGGAGGGCTGGAGCTCCATGTACGCGCCGTCGGTGCAGGGCCGGGTCAGGATCTCCAGGGACAACGGGCAGAGCTCGGTGACGCTGACCATGAACAACCTCAAGGATGAGGATTCCGGATCCTATTTCTGTGCCAAATCTGATGCTGTTGGTGGTTATAATGTTGGTGCTATTGGCCGGCTATTGGGACGCACCTGTCCCTGTTCCCCAGACCCTTCCCACCAAACCCTGACCACACTCCTGCCCTTTGTCTCAACTTTGCCCTGCTCTGAACCCACATCTCAGCTCCTGGCCCCAAATCTCAGCTCACAGCCCCAAATCTCAGCTCTTGGCCCCAAATCTCAGCTCCCAGCACAAAATTAGGGCCAGTTTCGCCCTGAGCTCGGCCTCATCCCTCCAATCCCAACCATTGCCTCCAGACTTGTCCAGTTTTACCCCAAGTCTCCCCTGCGGGCACCGAGTAACAGCCACCGACCCAAATCTCGCCCATTAGCCACACATTGGCAATTTCAGGCCAAAATTTGAATTTTTGAGTCCTGACCTTAACTTTGGCCCCAAAATTTGAAAAATTAAATGTAATTTGAGGAACGAGGGCACTGAGTGTGGCCCAGAGGGGACATTTGGGTCAGAGCCAGAGCAGGGCTGGGACAGAGGGTGAGGAGTGGGGTCAGGGGCTGGGGACTGGGGGGAAGGGTCTGGGGAACGGGGACAGGAGGGGGCACGACCATGAGGGAGGAGCCAATAGCATACGCAGTATTTGAACCAGCAGCAGCACGAGCACTCTTGGCACAGAAATAGGTGGCGGAATCCTCATCCTTGAGGTTGTTCATGGTCAGCGTCACCGAGCTCTGCCCGTTGTCCCTGGAGATCCTGAACCGGCCCTTGACTGATGGCGCGTAGGCGGTGCTGGAACCACTGCTGTAGATGCCTGCGAGCCATTCCAGCCCCTGCCCGGGGCTCTGGCGGATCCAGAGCATGTCAAAATTCCCAAAACTGAACCCGGACCCTCGGCAGAGGAGGCGCAGGGAGCCCCCGGGGGGCTGGAGGACCCCCCGCACTCCAGCAGGGTCACGGCCGCCCGGAGCCCCACAGGACAAAGGGGAGATGGGGAGGAGGAGCTGGGTTGGTTATGGACACAAAGTGGGCACCGCCATGCCAGAAGAAGTGTGTGGGATCCACCTTGGAGGATTGGCAGGTGCTGCAGGAGGCAGATGGTGAGGTCCAAGAGTCCCAGTTTGTGGCCAGCATCAGGGTCTGCATGCAAGAATCAATATTTGGGTTGATTTTTTCCCCTTCCCCATCTCCCCTTTGTCCCGCAGGACTCCAGGCGGCCGTGACCCTGCTGGAGTGCGGGGGGACCTCCAGTCCCCCGGGGGGTCCCTGCGCCTCCTCTGCTGTGGGTCCGGGTTTGATTTTGGGAAATTTGGGATGGGCTGGATGCGGCAGAGACCCAGGCAGGGGCTGGAATTCATCGCCAGCATCAACAGTGATGGTGGCAGCACCAGGTACGCGGATTCAGTCAAGGGCCGGTTCAAGATCTCCAGGGACAACAGGCAGAGCTCGGTGACGCTGACCATGAACAACCTCAAGGACGAGGATTCCGGATCCTATTTCTGTGCCAAATCTGCTGGTGCTGCTTGGGCTGTTGCTGCGAATCCTTTTGTCCCCATCCGCTTTGCTGTTTCCCCACTTGTCCCCATTTTCCCGATTCTTTCCCCAAACCGCAGCTCCTGACCAAATTCCTGTCCCCGTGTCCCAGCTCTGAACTGGCTCTGCCCCAAATCTCAGCTCTTGGCCCCAAATCTCAGCTCCTGGCCCCAAATCTCAGCTCCTGGCCCCAAATCAAGGCTGGATTCACCCTGAGCTCGGCCTCGCCCCTCCAATCCCAACCATTGCCCCCAGACTTATCCAGTTTTACCCCAAATCTCCCCTGCGGGCACCGAGTCACATCCACCAACCCAAATCTGCCCCTTGGCCTCACAATGGGAATTTTGGGCAAAAATTTGAATTCTTGACCCCTCAGCTCAACTTTGGGCTCAAATCCAGACATTTCGGTGACATTTGGGGTGCGAGGGCACTGAGTGTGGCCCAGAGGGGACATTTGGGAAAGAGCCAGAGCAGGGCTGGCACAGCGGGTGAGGAGTGGGGTCAGGGGATGGGGAATGTGGGAAGGGTCTGGGGTATGGGGATACAGATGGGGACTGTGAAAAAACCAACTCAACCACCAGAATAACGAATATCAGAAGCAACATACCGACTGTCAAAGCCAGATTTCACACAGAAATAGGTGGCAGAATCCTCGTCCTTGAGGTTGTTCATGGTCAGCGTCACCTAGCTCTGCCAGATGTCACTTGTCAATGTGAACTGGCCCGTGACTGAATCTGCATAGAACATTTTGCTACTGCTTCTGCTGATCCCTGCGATGAATTCCAGCGTGTTCCAAGATCTCTGGCGCATCCAACCAATGCCAAATGTCATGAAATCAAAGCCAGATGTGTGGCAGAGGAGGCGCAGGGACCCCCCGTGGGGCTGGAGGTCTCCCCCGCACTCCAGCAGGGTCACGGCCGCCCGGAGCCCTGCGGGACAAAGGGGAGATGGGGATGAGGCCAAAGCTCAAACCTTGACCCAAATCCTGACTCTGGGCCAAAACTGGGACCCTTGGAGTTCATCATCCTCCTCACAGGTGGGTCCCATGTCTTTTTCCAGATGGCCACGCCCACTTTGAGGTCCTCAACCAATCAGGTTTCCCATCCTCATCTCCACTTTTTCCCACAGGGCTCCAGGCGGCCGTGACCCTGCTGGAGTGCGGGGGGCACCTCCAGCCCCCCGGGGTGTCCCTGCGCCTCCTCTGCTGAAGGTCCGGGTTCCTTTTCGGGACTTTTGAAATGGAATGGGTTCGTCAGAGTCCTGGGAAGGGGCTGGAATGGGTCGCGGGGATCAGGTATGATGGTGGCAGCACCTGGTACGCGGATTAAGTCAAGGGCCGGTTCACGATCTCCAGGGACAACGGGCAGAGCTCGGTGACGCTGACCATGAACAACCTCAAGGGCGAGGATTGTGCCACCTATTTCTGTGCCAAATGTGCTTTTACTTCTGGCGCTGGTTGGGGTGCTGGTGCTTTTGTTTATCATTTTCTTCCTGTCCCCATGCCCCAGAACCTTCCCTCCAACCCCTGTCCCCACTCCTGAGCCTTTGTCCCAACCTTGCCCTGCTCTGGCCCCAAATCTCAGCTCTTGGCCCCAAATTAGGGCCGGTTTCACCCTCAGCTCACCCTCGTCCCACAAATCCCAAAGATTTTTACCCGACTGGACCCATTCTTTCCCAAAATTGCAGCGGTGAAACTGAGTCACAGCCACAGACCCAAATCAGGCCCATTTTCACCAAATCCCGACCATTTGCACCCAGACTTGGGGACCTTGGTTGAGACTCGGACCCAATAGCTGAGGTTTGGGGCCAAGAGCTGAGATTTGGGGCCAAAGCAGGGCAGGGTTGGGCCAAAGGGTCAGGAGTGGGGTCAGGGGCTGGGGTGTGGGGGAAAGGTCTGGAAAACAGGAACAGATGGGGACACAGGGATTGGGCCATGGTCAAAGTCATAGACAGCAGCAACCCAACTACTATAGGCAGATTTCCCGCAGAAATAAACGGCGGAATCCTCGTCCTTGAGGTTCTTCATGGTCAGCGTCACCGAGCTCTGCCCGTTGTCCCTGGAGATCCTGAACCGGCCCTGCACCGACGACGCGTACCAGGTGGTGCTGCCAGTGTTGATATAGGCGACGTATTCCAGTCCCTGCCCAGGTCTCTGGCGGATCCATTCAAAGTCAGAACTGCCAAAATCGAACCCGGACCCTCGGCAGAGGAGGCGCAGGGACCCCCCGGGGGGCTGGAGGTCTCCCCCGCACTCCAGCAGGGTCATGGCCGCCCGGAGCCCTGCGGGACAAAGGGGAGATGGGGATCAGGGAAAAAATCCATCCAAATGTTGATTCTTGCATGCAGATCCTGGTGTTGGCCCCAAATATTGGCACTTTCTCCTCCTCCCGATCCTGCTGGCCCTCCCAGGGGGCTCGAGGACCCCTTTTGGATCTGGTCACCCCCAGCCGGACCCACACCTGGATCCGGGGCCTCATCCCCATCTCCCCTTTGTCCCACAGGGCTCCGGGCGGCCGTGACCCTGCTGGAGTGCGGGGGGAACCTCCAGCCCCCCGGGGGGTCCCTGAAGTTGCTGTGCCAAACATCTGGGTTCAATTTCACAAAATCTGCAATGTTCTGGATGCGCCAGAGACCCGGGCAGGGGCTGGAATTCGTCGCGGGGATCAACGGTGATGGTTCCACCCCCAGATACGCGCCATCGGTCAAGGGCCGGTTCAGGATCTCCAGGGACAACGGGCAGAGCTCGGTGACGCTGAGCATGAACAACCTCAAAGACGAGGATTCCGGATCCTGTTTCTGTGCCAAAACCGCCTATGATGGTTGGGGTTGGGTGGCTCATGCTGCTGGATCTAATTTTGGTCCCGTCCCCATCCCCGTTCACCTGGTCCTTCCCTCCTGCCCTTGACCCCATTGCTGAAGTCCACGGACCCAAATCTGGACCATTTTTCCCCAAAACTCGACCATTTGCATCCAGGTTTGGGGACATTGGTTCAGCCTTGGAGCCAAGAGCAGAGGTCTGGGGCTAGGAGCTGAGATTTGGGGCAAAAGGTTGAGATTTGGGGCCTGGAGTGGGGATTTGGGGCCAAGAACGAAGATTTGGGGTGTAAGGTTGAGATTTGGGGCCAAGAATGAGGATTTGGGTTGCAGAGTAAGGATTTGGGGTAAAGAATTTTATTTTCTTTTATTTTATTTTATTTTATTTCGTTTTATTATATTATTTTATTTTATTTTATTTTACTTTTTTTATTTTATTATTTTATTTTATTTTATTTTATTTTATTTTATTTTATTTTAGTATATTCTTTTATTTACTTTAATTAAATTTTTTTATTTAATTATTTTAATTTTTTTATTTTATTATATTTTTATTTTATCTGATTTTATTCTATTTTTCTTTTTATTCCTCTTTTAGTTTAATTTATTTATTTTTTATTTTATTTTACTTTATTTTACCTTATTTTATTTTTTTAAATTTTATTTATTATTTCATTTTTTTTTATTTTATTTTATTTTTCTTTTTATTCCTCTTTTAGTTTAATTTATTTTTTAATTCAATTTTATGTAATTTATTTTATTTTATTTTATTTTATTTTGCTTTATTTTATTTTATTTTATTTTATTATTTTCTTTTCTTTTATTTCATTTTATGTCATTTTAATTTATGATTTTATGTTATTTTTCTTTTTTTATTCCATTTTTAGTTTAATTTAATTTTATTTTTCTTTTTTTTGATTTTTCTTTTCTTTTTCTTTTTTTTTTTCTCATTTAAGTTTGATTTAATTTTATTTTTATTTTATTTCCATTTTCTAACCTAATTTTCTATTGCTTTTATTTTTAAATTTAGTTTAAAATTTAATTTCAACCTTATTTTATTTCTATTTGTAATTTTTATTTTGGATTTTCATTTTAAACTCATTTGAACTTATTTAAATTTTAATTACAATTGTGAGTATATTTTCATTTTTTAATTTCATATTAAGTTTATTTTTCTTTTAATTTTCCTGTTCTTTTCCAATTAAATTTCAATTAAATTGAAATTTCAATTAAATTTACATAAAATAATCATTTTATTTTAATGATTATTTTATTTGGAATTTTAATTTTTACTATAATTCACTTTGCATTTATTTTATATTTTTAACATCAACTTTCATTTTCTTTTTTCTCTTCATTTTAACTTTTTATTCTATTTTCAATTCTAATTTTATTTCTAAATTTATTTTAAGTTAATTTTCTTTTCCTTACATCATTTTAATTTTATTTTTTTATTGTGTTTTCAATTTTATCTTAATTTCTAAATGGAATTTCAGCCTCAATTTTACCTTTAAGTTCCTTTTTAATTTATATATTTAATTTTATCTTGTTTAATTTTATTTTACTTTAATTTTAACTTTAATTTCATTTTTATTTCTTTTTATTTTTAATTTATTTTTAATTTTGATTTATTTCACTTTAATTTAAAATTACATGTTTACTTTATTGATAACTTCAATTTTATTTTAAAATTTATATTTTTATTTCCATTTTAAATTAAATCATATCGTGAATTTTTTTGGAAAGTTTATTTTTATTTAATTTCTTTTAAAAGTTTCATTTTAATTTTCCTTTTAATTTTTATTTTTATTGAATTTTAATTCTTGCCAAATTTGGAACTTTTAATTCCGATTTTTGTGATTTTCTGTTATTATTGGTTTCCAGGTGAATTTTTTAATTTAAGTACGATTTTAAATTCATTTAGTTTCATTTAACTTAATTTAATTTATTTTAGTTTAATGTAGATTATTTCTATTTTATTTTGTTTTCTTTTTATTGAGTTTATTTTAGTTTCATTTAATTGATTTGAAGTTTTATTTTGCTTTATTTCCTTTTTATTTAACAAAGTTTCAGTAAATTAAATTATTTTAAATTTAAATGAATTTAAATTTAAAGTCAATTTATTGTTTTTTATTTTTTATTTTATTTTATTTTTATTGAGTTTATTTTAGTTTAATTTAATTGATTTGAAGTTTTATTTTGTTTTATTTCATTTCTATTTAACAAAGTTTCAGTAAATATAATTATTTTCAATGTAAATGAATTTTAATTTAAAGTCAATTTATTTTATTTTATTTTTTTTATTTTATTTTTTTTTATTGAGTTTATTTTCATTTAATTTAATTGATTTGAAGTTTTATTTTGTTTTATTTCCTTTTTATTTAAGGAAGTTTTAGTAAATTAAATTATTTTCAATTTAAATGAATTTTAATTGAAAGTAAATTTATTTTATTTTATTTTTTTTAATTCTATTTTTAGTTAATTACTTCCATCATTAATTTGTTAATTTTGTTTATTGGAGGTTTATTAATGAGAATAGTTTTAATTTATATTTTTATTTTTATATTAATATTAATATTATAATACTAAAACAATAAAATATTTTTTTATTTTATATTATTTTTATTTTTTAAATTATATTTTTAATTAATTACTTCCATCAATTATTTGTTAACTTTGTTTATTTGAGGTTTATGAATGACAATATTTTTTATTTATATATTTTTGATAATAATACTAAAAAAAAAAATATCATTTTTTATTTTATTTTATTTTATTTTATTTTATTTTATTTTATTTTATTTTATTTTATATTGTTTTCATTTATTTTATTTTATTTTATTTTATTTTATTTTTATTTTTATTGCTTTTATTTCTATTGTTTTTATTTCTTATTTTAATATTTTGCCAGGTTCCTTCCTTTCTAATCTTTATTAACATCGATTAAAGTCAATGACCGTTTATTAATCGCTATTAATTAATATTATTTCAATCAAAAATCAAGAATTCCATTTTCTTCTGGGTTTTCTTCGTTATTTTCGTTTTTTCCCTTTGGGGATCAATGAAAGAAAATGGAATTAAAGGGAATAAAAGAATTGTAATGAAATAAATGGAAAATTGAAAAAAATTCAAAATTTAATAGAAAATTCAGTGAAATAAAATAAAATAATTCAATATAATTAATGTTGCTTTTATTTTATTTTACTTTATTTTATTAAAATCTATTCGTTTATCATTATTTGCATTTTGATTCAATTGAATTTATTAAGATTTATTTTTATTATTTTTATTAATCACAAAAAATTTATTTTTATTTGTTTTTATTCATTAAGGCGTATTCTTTATTCTTATTTCTATGAATGGATTTTGAAAATTTTAAAATTAAAATGAATTTGAATGAAAATTAAAATGAAATCATTAATTTAAATTTTAAAAATTTTGAATTTCAAAGAAACCAAAATTTAATCTAGAATTAAATTGAAATGAAATTAAAATAAATAAAATAAAATAGAATAAAATAGAATAGAATAGAATAAAATCGAACAAAATAAAATAAAATAAAATAAAATAAAAATTAAATTAAACTAAAAGAGGAAAAAAAGAAAAATAAAAGACAGGAAAAGAAAAAAAAAACAATAAAATAAAATAAAATGAAATAAAATAAAATAAAATAAAATAAAATAAAATAAAATAAAAAATTAAAATAAAATAGAATAGAATAGAATAAAATCGAACAAAATAAAATAAAATAAAATAAAATAAAATAAAATACGATTAAAAAAGAATGGGAGCAAAAGAGTAATCAGAAAAAAACCAATGAAATAAAAATGAAATAAAAGAAATATTATAGGAAATAAGTGGAATTAATAATTTGTATTTTTAAAATAAAAAATTGAATTCAATCGGAAAGAAAGGGCAAGATTAACAATTGAAAAAAGGGAATGAAAATAAATTTATAAAAATAGAAAACGGCAAAAACAGAGGCAGGAAATTGATGCAAATTAAGGAGGAAATGGGGGGAAAAGAGAAATAAAAATCAATTAAAGCAGAGGAATGAAAAACAAATAAAGGAGATTAATTGAAATAAATTGAATTAAATAAAATTAATTCAAGGAACGGATGAAAATCCAGGAATTAAATCCCAAAATTTGATAAAATACAAGAAGAGGAATTTAATTTAATTTAATTTAATTTAATTTAAGTTATTTAGATTTTATTTTTTAATTAAATTTTAATCTTATCAATGATTTCTTATTATAAAAAATGAAAAATAAATTTATAGGAAATTGAATTATTAGAAAATTGATATTGAGAGAAATTAATTTATAACAATATTTAGATTTTTAATAAATAAAAATACAAATTTATATTGGTAGAATTTATTAATTTATGATAATCGGAATAAATAGAATAAATAGGTATATCTTTATTAATTAAAAATTTTATTGATTTTTTTAT